AGTTTTTAGACACCGCACAGCAGGCAGCACACCTGCGATCCCTGAGGGAGGGGAGCATGTGCAGGTCTGCAGCCAGCTGTGCTTTCCACCAGCATCATTCCTGGACAATGGGGCAAAGCAGGAGAAACCAAAACAAAGCGCGGTAGCCTTTCTGAGTTAGACAGACAGAGACTGTAGTTTAAGGAGGCACAGGTGACTGCAAAGTGCAGGGAAGAGTTCAGGAAAGGAGGGAGCTACGTAGGAAAAAAGCTCCAGAAATCTGCATAGGATCTTCTTAAGTCTTTGATGAGGAGTAGGCCATACATAGGTGGAGTGAAACTTCATAAAGCCAGGCAAAGGCCGACCACGGAACTGTAAGCTCAACAATCCCCAGAGATCTCATGGGGCAGGGAGAATTTCTAGCTCCCAACAACCAGAAGGACTAGTCCTTGTTAATTACCTGGGCCTATCAGTAGTGACCCAAGGGGCTGTGCCTTGGCAGTAGCCTGAAGTATCCCTAGAGTAAAGGCTGTTCTAGACCTGGGCTAGTAAAGCTTAACAACAGGCCCTGAAGGGATGAAGCTGATCTGTAAGTAACTAAACTGCCTGCCAAAACAAAGTCCAGCACTCTTCCAATGAAGACAACAAAACCTAGATACTCAACAGTGATCATTCAGACAAAACCTAGATACTCAACACTGATCATTCAATATCTGGGAAACAATGAAAAATGATTAGACATATCTAAAAGCAGGGAAATGTGACCCATAACCAGAAACCAGGAGAAATATCAGTCAATTAAGTAAAAGACCCAGAAATGACAAAGATGATGGAATTAACAAACCAGGAATTAACAGCTATTATAACTGTGAAAAAATTTAAAGAAAACGCAAAAATAATCACAAAAGCAAAAATATTAAAAAGAACCAAATAGAGCTTCTAGAGATGAAAAATACAATACCTGAAAATTTTAGGTGACACACTGGAGGAAAAAAGATCAGAAAAGTTGAAGGCACAGCAACTGACTCTACAGGTAAACCTCGTTTCACTGCGTTTTACTTTACTGCACTTTGCAGACATGGTGTTTTTCATGAATTGAAGGTCTGTGGCAACCTTGCCTCGATCAAGTCTGTCGGCACCATTTTTCCAGCAGCATGTGCTCACTTTGTGTCTGTGTCACATTTTGGTAATTCTTGCAATATTTCAAGCTTTTTCATTATTACTATATCTGTTATAATAATCTGTGATCAATGATCTTTGATGTTACTATTATAACTGTTTGGGGCACATGAACTGCACCCATACAGGACGGTGAACTTAATCAGTACGTGTTGTGTGTGTTCTGACTGCTCCACCAGCCAGCTGTTCCTGTTTGTCTCCCTCCCTCTCCTTGGTCTCCCTTTTCCCTGAGACACAACAATATTGAAATTAGGCCACTTAATAACCCTACAATGGCCTCCAAGTGTTCAAGTGAAAGGAAGAGTCATGCGTCTTGTCCTGACCTTATATCAAAAGCTAGAAATGATTAAGCTTAGTAAGGAAGGCATCACAAAAGCCCAGATAGGCGGAAAGCAAGGCCCCATGCCAAACAGTTAGCCCAGTTGTAAATGCAAAGGAGAAATTCTTGAAGGAAATTGAAAGTGCTGCTCCAGTGAACACACAAATAATAAGAAAATGAAACGGCCTTATTGCTGATATGGAGAAAGTTTTAGTGGTCTGGATCGAAGATCAAACCAGCCACACATTCCCTTAAGCCAAAGCCTAATCTACAGCAAGGCCCTAACTCTCCTCAATTTTGTAAAGACTGAGAGAGGTGAGGAAGCTGCAGAAGAAAAGTTTGAAGCTAGCTGAGGTTGGTTCATGAGGTTTAAGGAAAGAAGCCGTCTCCATAACATAAAAGTGCAAGGTGAAGCAGCAGGTGCTGATGCAGAAGCTACAGTAAGTTATCCAGAAGATCAAGATAAGATCGTTGAGGAAGGTGGCTACAGTAAACAACAGATTCTCAATGTAGATGAAACAGGCTATATTGTAAGAAGATGTCACCAAGGACTTTCATCACTGGAGAGAAGTTAATGCCTGGCTTCAAAGCTTCAAAGGGCAGGCTGAGCCTCTTGTTAGGAGCTAATTGCAGGTGGTGACTTTAAGTCAAAGCTAATGCTCATTTACCATTCGAGAATGCTAGGGCCCTTAAGAATTATGCTAAATCTATTCTGCCTTTGCTGGATAAATGGAACAACAAAGCCTGAATGATAGCACATCTTTTATAGCATGGTTTCCTGAATATTTTAAGTCCACCGTTGAGACCTACTTCTTAGGAAAAAAGATCCTTTCGACATACTACTGTTCATTGACAATGCTCCTGGTCATCCAAGAGCTTTGATGGAGATTCATGTTTTTATCCTGCTAACACAACATCTATTCTGCAGCCCATGGATCAAGAAGTCATTTCAACTTTCACATCTTATTACTGAAGAAATACATTTCATAGAGCAATAGCTGTCACTAATAGTGATTGCTCTGATGGATCTGAGCAAAGTAAATTGAAGACCTTCTGGAAAGAATTCACCATTCTAGATGCCATTAAGAACATTTATGTTTTATGGGAGGAGGTCAAAATATCAACATTAACAGGAGTTTGGAGGAAGTTGATTTTAACACTAATGGATAACTCTGAGGGGTTCGATACTCCAGGCAAGGAGGTAACTGCCATTGTGATGACAACAGCAAGAGAACTAGAGGTAGAAGTGGAGCCTGAAGATGGAACTGGATTGCTGCCATCTCATGAGAAAACTTTAATAGAGGAGGAGTTGCTCCTTATAGATGAACAATAAAAATGGTTTCTGGAGATGGAATCTACTCCTAGTGAAGATGTGGAGAACATTGTTGAAATGACAACAATGGAGTTAGAATATTACATAAACTTAGTTGATAAAGCAACAGCAGGATTTGAGAGGACTGACTCCAATTTTGAAAGAAGTTAAATGCTACCAAACACCATCACAGAGAAATCTCTCATGAAAGGAAGAGTTGATTGATGTGGCAAAGTTCAGCGCTGAAGAAATTTTAAGAAACTGCCACAGGCACCCCAACCTTCAGCAACCACCACACTGATCAGTCAGCAACACCAAGGCAAGACCTTCCTCCAGCAAGAAGGTTACATCTCACTGAAGGCTCATAATTAGCA